TATTATGTGCTTTCTTCCTAGATTTTATTGTGCTTTTGGCTAAAGTTTACAGAAAGGATGGGTTTACATTCATTCCTTGACACAGATTTTCCTCCCTCCCCTTATCCAATTAATTTTGTAATGCACGCCTTGTTTCAGATTTTTAACTGACATACATATGTCTAATCATCTATTCCTTTCAGATGATCCTTCCATTTTCCTGTTCCAGTGTAGGACTCATTATCTGTCCATTCTTTTCCCGCTCTCTCCCCTTCCCCGTGTCATCCTGTTTATATAATAATGGGCTTATGCAGTATTTGTCCTTTTGTGACTGAAGTCTTTCACTCAGCAGAATGTGCTTCCAGACTCATCCATGCTGTGTTGTGTTTTACAAGTTCATTGTGTCTCAGTGCTGTGTAATATTCCATTATGTGGATGTACTCGTTTTTCTGTTTTCATTGTTGACAGGCAGTTGGACTGCTTCCATCTCTTCACTATGATGAATAATGTTGCACTAAACATGGACGTGCATACATCTGTTTGCATCACTGCTCTAGTTGCTTTAGGGTACATTTCCAGTGGTGGGATAGCTGGGTCTAATAGTATTTCTAACTTTATGAGAAAACACCAGACTGCTTTCCATAATGGTTGGACCCTTTTACACTCCCACCAGCAGCGAAGGAGAGTTCCAATCTCTCTACATCCTCACCAGCATTTGTTGTTTGCTGCCCTGTTAAACATTTCTATCATTGCTGGGGTAAGATGATAACTAATTGTTATTTTAATTTGCATTTCTCTGAGAGCTGGGAATTTTTAATTTTGACAAAGTGTTGGCCATCTGAAATTCTTTGATGAAATATTATTCCTATGTTGTGCCTATTTGGACTGTTTGCCTTTTTCTTACAGAAATGAAGCGGTCTACAACCTTTAGATAGGAGTGTCTTATGTATTTATAGACTATTCCAACGTCTTTACAAGAGAAAGAATAACAACCCAGTTTCAAAATGGGCAGAGGATATAAAAAGAATCTTCACCAAAGACGGCATTTAGATGGTCTACAAACGTGGAGAAATGCTCCAGATCACTAGCCATTAAAGGAATGCAAATAAAAAATGATAAAAGTCATCTCTCCCCAGCAATAAGAGTAAGGTTCAACAGGACAGCAAACAACGAGTGTTGGCTGGGCTGTGGAGAAACTGGAACTCTCATGCATTGTTGGTTAGAATGTTAAATGGTACAACCATTATGCAAAGCAGACTGGCATTTCCTCAAAAAATAAAGACTGGAAACACCATTTGAGAAGTTGTGCTGCAATTCCAAAGGCGCGTGGTTCGAGGCCATCAGTTGTTCCATGGGAGGTGGACAGGCAATCTCCTCCTGTGCAATTAACTACCTCTGAAGATCCTCTGAAGGATTTTGGGTCAGCTATGGATCAGTTCCAGCTCTACGGTACACAACAACAACAACAACATTCCACTACTGGGAATATGCCCTAAAAACATCAGAGCTGTGACACAAACAGATGTATGCACACCCATCTTTATTGTCAAATTATTCACAACAGCAAATAGACTGAAGCAGCCCAAGTGCGCATCAACAAACAGATGGATAAGAAAAACTGTGGTGCATTCATACAATTTACCCAGCACTGAAAAACAATGAAGAACTCATGAAACACTATACAACACAGATGAGTCTAGGGGACATTATGCTGATCGAAATAACTCAGTCACAAAAGGACCAATACTGTATAAGAGTGTGGTTATAAAAACAGGATAATGCTGGTGGCAGAGACTGAGGAGAATAAGAAATTAATAGATAGACAATGAACAGTCTTGGAATAGGTGAAGGGAAGGGTCCATTTGAAATGAATGGAAGATTAGACATTGTACTTAATTGCAATTAACACTCTGAAGCAGGGCATGCACAAATGAACAGATGGGTATAAGGGGAAAGAAAACTAAGAGAACAATTCTGGAGGCATGACAGGGATAGGTAGGGAGAAGAAGAGAATAGAGAACAGATGGGTAGGGTGAAGAAGGGAAATTGGGTACAGCAATGATTTGATAAGACATTGTAAACAGTGGCATTGCACAACTGTAATTAATATTACAAAATATATTTTGCATGAGGGATTGAATGAAAATGAATTTAAAAATTACATTTCATCCATGACCTTATTAGAAGGCAAGTTCCATATATACGTCACACTTGTCAACAAATAATCACAAGCAGCAATAAGTTACGAGATTGTCAGGTCACAGGTGAACACACTTCACATGACCACATAGTATACATTGTATACATTGTACCATGTCCTACTTACAGGACAGCTATTTTTGAAAATTGATCACTTCAATACAGTGTATTCCTCAAAATAAAATGACACCCTTGCTCTACAAAATACTTGCATCAAGGCATTTCTTATACTGCATTTCAATTGTTGTTGTCGATGATTGCCGTCCAGTGGAGGACAACTCAAAGCGACTCTATGAACAAAAGACCGAATGTCTTTCCATAACTATTGTCATTTCTCCAAGTTCCGAGAGTTTCCAGAGCCATGTAGTTTAGGAAGTGGATGCCGCTCCTGCTTCCCAACCTGCTTTACAACTGGGAGCTCCATCAAACACTGTCCACACTGGAAAACCATTATGGTATCTGATACCCCAATGGCATAAGGTTCAGCTTCACAGCAACCCAGATTGCTTCATACAGCACATTGACAAAGAGTGATGTACAAAGTGGAAGAATGGTCCTCCAGACATAACAGCACGAGTCTCATTTAGCAGTGGTTAAGTGTCATCAAGTCGAATAAGATTCATAGCGATCCTTGCACAAAAGACCTGAACTCTGTTATACAACCAACATAATTTAGATATGTTATGTTTTGTTCAGTTGAACATTTAGTAAAAGTAATTTTTAAAAGGAATTTTACCATTTTCACAATGAATTTTAAAATCTTTTCAAATGCTCTAATCATTCACCTGTTATATTCCTTGAAAGAACAGAACTCTAAAACCGTACTATTTATTCAAACTTATGTTAGGGAACCCTTGTGGCTACTAAGCCAGGTAAGTTAAGGAGTTGTCCTGTCAACCCAAAGGTATGAGGTTTGAATATACCAGTTGCTCCTTAGAAGAAAGCAAGCTCTGGCAGCCTACTGGTAAGAAGTTACACTGCAATATCAAAGGTGCATGGTTCAAATCCACCCATTGCTCTGCAGGAGAAGAATGAGCAATCTCCTGTCATGTGATTTACTGCCTGTGAAAACCTGCTTCAGGGTCAGCTAGGGGTCAGTTCCAACTTGATGGTACACAACCACCACCTTGGGAGAAAAATGGCCCTTTTTTTGTGAGTGATTTATTTACTACTTCTGAACGTCCACTAGAGGGCCAGCTATGAGCGGGTCCTGCCTAAACGGCACACAACAACAACAATAACATATACAGGACAGTAGGACATAAGGGATTAATGAGGGAGTTCAGAACAGTTCAAAATGGGAGGGTGCGAAGGGTTGTCCAATTTGAAGAATTAATTGCTGACTTGAATCTGCAGAACCTGCTGAATTGTCAGGGGTTTTGCTGTGTACATTCTAAACAACTAACTAAATAAATAAAATGATACAAAAATATATGCGGTTCGAATCCACCAGCTGCTCCACAGGAGAAATATGGGCAATCAGCTCCCAGGCACTTTACTGCCTCTGAAAACCCACGGGAGGGTCAGAGATGGGTCACTTCTGACTCTATGGTAAAAAACACGCAAGCTTTGGAAACTAACATATAGTGGTTTGTAAATATCAACCAGTGTTCTTAAATAAAAATGCTTCAAATAGAACAAACATAGCATACTTGACAGTTTACAAAGCAATGTGCTTATGTAAGGCAGGGCTTGACTTTGCCCTTGCAAATGTTCAAGCCATGATCTTATGCCCTAAAGCATTCGGGGACAAATACAAAACTGAAGTGTCCATTGTACATATATTGTGGGAGTCTGCCTGCTGAGTTCAGCTCACAGGCATCAACCAGAACCCTAATGGAGCCGTTCAAACTTCTGGCCTTGATTACGTTTTAAATAATGGAGGGCTGTTTCCAAAAGCTTAACTTGAGTAACTGATTTTCTAGCAAATAAAAGTCCATGTATTGATTCCAGCTGTGGTGTGATCCTATTCTTGTAAATGTAGATCTTGGGATTCCAGCATGAACTGTCTCGAATCCCCTTCCAACAATGTCACTAGAAAGGAGAATAGGGTAAATTGTAACCCTGTGTCTGCTTGGAAGGGAACAGGGTTACAAGTTGTAAGTAAAACATCAAAGCTGAATGCACTTATATTCGGAATCCCCAGCCACAGAGGACCCGCAAGTACAGGATTCTAGAATAGAGTTTGAGTCAGATACGGGCTATGAGCCTCAACAGGGGAGAGGAACAGGTCCTCGCCATAGTAAGAGGAGTGATCGAGGGGGCCTTTTATGTGGATCTACGTCTCTACACAAGTAGGCATTAAGTTAACATATATAAGCTCCACTGATCACTGAAGGGTCAACTCAGGGTTGGCCCCAAGCTGTGGAGGAAGGCTGCCTGACTTCTGTACTCACAGGTAGACCCTTAGGAAAAACTTGAGAGTCTAAGTGTTGTTGTCAGGTGCCAAGAAGTTAATTTTGACTCATAGATACCGCAGCAACAGAACAGAACTGTCCCACAAGGCTTGCTTGGCTGTAATCTTTCAAGATGATAACCACGCCTTTTCCAAGGGATTTGCTGGGTGCATTTGAATTTCCAGCTTTTTTATCAAGAGTTCTGTACTTAGTAGTGGTGCCACTGTGGGTTCTTATGGGAAAACTCTGCTCTTAAAAGCAATGATGTGTCTATCTCCACCAGATAAAAAAGAGAGATCGATCACATTTCCAGAAGACTACGTCAAACCTGAGCAAGACAGAACCTAGACTGGATGGGGCACCACCACTGTAAGTAATCCAGACTCTGGGTCCAAACAAACAGAGATGAGCACTGGCTTGGAGACATCAAAGCAGGAGTCTGGTGTTCTTGTGGGTGAGCGTCTCAACTTCCTCTGGAGAAAAACTGTTCCCTCGGAGCCTAAAAGGGGACAAAGCAGAGGTTTGAATGAGAACAAAACCAGAATATGAGCCTTTCCAATGGAAGCTGTCACTTTTTCAACACAGGTCATGACCTGGACCTCTGGCTTGGCTACAGCTTTTCTGAGAGGCTAGTTGGTGATATTTGAAGCATTCACTAGCCATGTATGCTATAAGGTATTATTTAACATATTTTTTAAATCTACTGGCTTTGATTTTTACCATATGGGTGGGCAGTTGTTGTTAGGTGTCATCCAGTCCATGATAATTCACAGTGACCCTGAGGTAGAAATAAATGCCTGGGAAGAAGGAGGAGGCATCTTTGAGGGTGTGATGAAATTTTCTTTTCAAGTACATGAAAGCAATGGTTTTTCATTAAACAGACTTGAGTCCATGGGGCCACAGCTGCTGCCCTCTGTCACCTTCATTCAGAGCTGCAGAGGGTCAGATACAACAGCGTAGGCCTACGAAGGCAGATGTAAAGCCAAGAGGGCCAAAGCTGAGCTCTTTTGACTTATTTTCAATCTTATTATTCATTCTTCAAACACAGCCTCATTGCCATCCTATTGCCCAGAACTGAAAAGTCTCTGAATACTTATGAATGAAAAATGAAAGGTTTGACACACACCACAAATGTCAAGATTTCTTTCCCAGAACAAGAAATAGATCACATGAACTGGCACCAAATGTCAGAGTAAGTCTACCTCTCTCCCCATTTCCCAAATCGGAAAACTGAGGCTTGGAATGTAAAGAGGCCTTGCCAGGGCTCTCACCAGACTTCCAGGATGGTGTCGTTCGTTTCCAGGGCTTGGAGTAGGGCTTCCGCTCCGACACAGGTGATACAGTTGTTGGACAGCCTAGAGAGGCAGAGGGAATGGTGAGCTGCCGCATGCTTGGTTCTCGTGGGTTTGCCCTGATAAAGAGGCTGAGGGAGTTGGCTGGTCTACCAGCAACTGAAGCCCTCCTGCTCTCCAGACATGGCCTTCTCCTGTCCTGAGACTCCCAGTGGTTCAGAAGCTCCTCCCCTCAAAGCCAGCCCCATTACCCTAACTCCAGTGCACAAGTTCTTACTTCAAGACTTTCAGACTTGAATTTTTCTTCAGTCCTTCAGCAAGATAGTTCACACCTTCATCATAGACATTGTTGTCCTCCAGGCTGACAAGAACAACAGAGACAATCCAGTGGATACAACAACATTTACTATGGAGGATGATATCAATCAAGACTAACCCACATACCGACACCTGAAAAAAATCAAACTTTTAAAAAATGACGTTTCTTTTACATTAGTTTGCATACAAAATCCATATACTCTGTGTGTTTCATTTATATGCATTGTGTTACACACATTTCTCTATTCATGTTGTTTCATAGTATCATTCCCATACATTGTGTTTTATAAAATTAATCACCATTGATCCATGTCTACCATTACCCTGCCTTTCCAGGTCCCCACTGGAACTCTTCAATTCCTTCAATCTCTCACTCTGCCCACATGATTCTGTGACCTCAAGAGTCTACCCACCCCTCACCCTCAGACTCTTCTTCCCCATCCTCCTCTGGACTTTTGTATATATCTTACTAGTAATTCTTCTATTTTTATAATAATTGTCTTATGCAGTATTTGTCCTTTTGAGACTGAGTAAGTTCACTCAGCATAAAGCTAATCAACCTCTCCTATGTTATAGAGTATTTTTCAAAATCCTTGCTCCTAAGTGCTGCATAGTACTCCGTCCATCACAAGTGAGAAATCACGCTTATGGAACAAATAAAGTAGGTTTGAGGGATCTCAATGTTAGAGACATTGTTCGGGTATAATTCACCCAAGGGTCTCTCTTTATAATAATTTCCTTTATGTTGCACCATGCAATGCATTTTTTTCTTTCTTCCTTATTAATGAAAATTTTGTTTGGGAGACTCTGGGTGGTATAAATTCTAACCAACAGGCTAGAGGTTCAAATCCACCCAGAGACACCTAGGAAGAAGGATTTGATGATCTGTTTTCTTAAAAATCAGTCACTGAGAACTCTACAAAGCACAGTTCTAATCTGACACATATGTGGTTGTTACACGCAGAAAATTACTTGACAGAAACTGGGACTGGAAATTTTGGGGGTCAGGAGGCCATGTGCCTGGTAAGAAAATTACCTTTCCCAGCCTCCACTGCAACCAGGCCACTGACACATTATCAACTGACAGAGGGGTTTCTGGGAAGAAAAACACCTGCCCCATCCTTTGGCCCTTCCTGGGTATGCAGGCTGAACCCTGAATTACAAAAGCAGGGCTGTGGTTGGAGCGCTTGTGATGGTAAAGAAATCAACACTGAGGAAAACTCTGTGGGATAAACATGATGGGACAGAAGAGGGAAAAAAATGTCAGGCTTTGCTGGCCTCGTCGAGGTAGTTACCATACCAATCTTATCCTCCCTAAGTGCAGACGTGGTAAAATAAACATTGACTGGTTGAAAGCACTGTGTTATTGTCCTCCATTGTTATTGATGTGTCATGGGCCCTAACTGAGTGTGTGTACAACAGGTTGAAATGCTGTCTCGCTGTCTAGTCCTGTACTATTGTCACCATCATTGGAATATCAGGGTCCACTGTCACTGCCACCATGTATTTTGAGTCCCTTCCAAACTTGTGGGCTGATCAACCAGCAATACATCAGAAAATGTTCTACTGTGATCTATAGGTTTTTCTTGGTTACTTTTCAGAAGTAGGTTATCAGCCCTTCTTCATAGTCTGTCTTAGTCTGGAAGCTCCACTGAATCCTACTGTCATGGGTGACCCTACTTGTGTTTGAAGTATGACTGGCCCAGCTTCCAGCATCGTGGAAACAGAATCCACCAAAGTATGATAAATTATCAGATGTGTCCTGGTGAAGCCTCAATAGTTAGACTCATCCTGCCATTTGCAGCAGTCATAACCAATGCACTTGTGAGCCCTACTACCAAATTCCAGTGACAGAATCCTGTCTGGCTATCAACATGGTAGAGGTGGCACGCCCAGCCAACGGCCAAAGAGAACCCACATTCTCCATTCTGCGGCAAGGCTCAGGTGTTTCGTTGTCTTTCTGCTTCTCCGAGAGATCAAACATTTAGCATTTTATTTTCCTAATAATTTGGAACTTTAAAGAACATGTCAGAAGAAAACAGTATCATCTGAAGGATGATAATTTTGTAATCAGCTTCAGGTCCACATCACAGCCATGATTCATAGTTCATCTTTCAACTTCCCACAAGTGCCATTCCACCTTCCAAGAACTACTGATTGTTCTACTTAGTGTTCCGAGAAACACAAGTGTACTTTAAAATAACAAAACACCATAGCTATTATTATTATTACTACTCATAGTGGTTCTAATAATCCTGCTATGATTGTAATTTAACATTTATGGATCACTTACACTTATGGCAGGAACTATATCAAGACCTCTACAAGTATCATTTCATGTAATTTGGAAGCATTCTAATCCGCATTTGACTGGTAGAAAAACAGAGATTCGGGGACTGTGTTTAACTCTCTATAACTAAAGCAGAATCTCAATCAGCTTGACAGCAACATCTCTGCTCTTAAGCCTGTAGACAAACCAAGTCATTACTTAAAAAAGAATTAGCCTCCATAGGAAGCCCACCACACAATATTTACTGAGCCAAACACAATCAATACATCAGTCCTCCACTTCTTCCCCAAGAAGCTGGACTACGTGAAGATGAACGTGACATCAGGATTGGAGGGGAAATAGTCTACAACCTGCTACACAATCACACCGACTTGTTTGCAGAAAGTGAAGAAGACTTGAAACACTGACGAAGAGCAGATACTACAGTTTTCAAAATGGATTACATCAAGAAAACAAAAATCCACACCACTGTATCAATAGGCAACATCGTGATAGACAGAGAAAAGATCCAGGTTGTCAGTGATTTTACATCACCTCAATCTACAATCTAGAACCATGACAGTGAAGTCAAGCCCTCAGGGGCAACGATTTCTCAAAATACTACATAACTTGGGAGAGACTGGAGAGCATTATGCTGAGTGACATAACTCAGACTGATAAGGACAAATACTACCTAAGGCCATTATTGTAAAACTAGAAGAATAACTAGTAAAACATGTATATGGGGACCCAAGGGGGGAAGAAGTGAGAGCTGAGGGGAGAGGATGGGTAGAGGTGAAACCAAAGGGTTGCACAATTTGGAGGGTGGAGGGAGGAGAGAAAGACATGGGAAGGATCCAGTGGGGACCTGAAAAGATTGGGTATCAATGCACAAGATCCAATGGTGATTGATTTTATAAAACATACATGGGAATGATTGGATGAAGTACAATATGAATGAAGAATAATGTGAGACACAATGTATATGAACTCTGTGGGTAAACCAATATAAAATGAAATTTTAAAAATCTAAAGAAAGAAAAAGCCACAATGCATTGAGGAAATCAGCTCTCAATGACCTCTTTAAAACACTAAAGAGTACTCAGATGAGAAAATCACAAGTGAGTAAGACAATTTCTTTGTTTTTTAAAAATAATAAATCACCACTGGAATATGCTTACCATTACCGTGTCTCTTCTGGTCCCCACTGGATTTTTCTCATTTCCTTCACCTACTCCCCCACCCACCAAATTGTGCAGCCCTGTGATTTCATCCCTGCCCTTCCTCACTCCTCTGCTCCCAACCCTCACTCCCTTGTATCCGCACACGTTTTTCACAATAAAAAAAAAAAAATTTATAAAGCACTAAAGAGCAAGGATATCAGTTTAAAGACCAACATGTGCTTGATCCAAGCCATGTATTTTTAATTGCTTCCTATGCACCTGAAAGTACTGAAGAGTAATGGTGTCACTCTGGAGACTAAGGTGTGCCATGGCCTTTGCAATCACTTGTTTGCTATGCACCAGAGAGCTGGACAATGGCTAGGGAGGATAGAAGAATTGATGCCTTTGAGCTATGGTGCTGGGGAAGAGTATTGAATATATCATGGACTACTAAGAAAAGAAACAGGTTCATCCTGGAGAGACTTAAACCAGTATGTTCCTTGGAGGCAAGGATTCTGAAGCTTTGTCTGACATATTTTGGACATAATACAAGGAGAGACCAGTCCTTGGAGAAAGACATCTTGCTTGGGAGGGTGGAGGGACAGCGCAGGAGAGAAAGACCCTCTGTGAGGTGGATTGATTCAGTGACTTGGGTAATCGGGGTAGGTGTGTCAGAGACAGTGCGATGGGCACAGGGTAGAGCAAGTATATAGGGTCAATATGAATTGCAGGCCACTCGACGGCACGTAACAACATGAATCTGAAAGGTGGTCAATGATGAAGGATGACAGAAGAGTTGATGTCTTTGAATTATGGGGCTGGTACAGAGTATTGAACATATGATGGACTGAAAAAAAAGAAGAAGAAAAAAACAAACCAAACAAGGGCAGGGCAAGGTTCAGATTCCTGGTTGACAGGGTCATTATGAGTAGTAACTGACTCAACGGCACCCACTCACCACCACCACCGTCTCAGTCTTAGCCATAATACCGAGAGCTAGTAATGTGCCTACCCAGAACAGGAAGTCCCCCAGACTCACCAGAGTTCTTCCAGCACCGTGTTCTTTTCCAGCATCACGGCTAAGGCTTGAGCACCAGCACTGCCAATGTTGTTTCCCACTAAGCTGGACATGATCAGGAGACAAAACCGTTTTAGAGAAGGAAGGCATTTCCTTAACCAACACAATGCATGGACAACAAAATGCATGGCACGCAAAACTCCATCCTCCTTGTCTGCTCCACATCAGCTGTCACTAATTTCAGGGCTTTTTCCCACTAACTTAGGAGGCAGCCTTGAAATTCTTCTCCACATGATACACCAGGAATCCACTATGAATGGACTGGAGTTGGTCCTTGAGATAACAGTGTGTCTGATTCAACCCAAGATCTTCAATTTACAAGGGAATCAAGACCCCTGAGCTGGGTCAGAATACCTCCAAGGTCACCCCAAAAGACACAAGAGTTTTGACTCCAAATTAAATTTTCACCCCACTGTTTCCCAGAAAAGAATAAAAATGAAGTTCAAAGAACTTCAAGACCTTCACAAGTGGCCCAAGCTCCTCCCTTCTCACCCTGACGTCGCTGTGACAACTGCAGACAGATTCTGAAGCTTACCTGAGCCACTTCAAACTCTGGTGGTCACTTAAGGCTTCAGCCAAGGCTTGGGCCCCGGTATCACCCACTTTGTTGCCCCAGAACCTGAAAATACAGTGAGAGCAATGACAGTGAGTGTTGGCTATGTATTACTACTATTGTAGACATGCTGTTAGAGAAGGCCTGGGACTGCCCACAAAGAATCACCAGTGAGTGATACAGCACGTCCTTTTAGAACCAGGGAGTTCCCTAACTCTGGGAAGCTCTTTAACGCAGGGAAAGTTCAAAATATGCAAAAAAAATTTCTAACTTATGGAGGCTGAAGGAAACAGGGACATTCTTCCAGAACAGACAGACAGGATCTTCTCATAGGGCCAGCATCTTGAATTTGGATCTCGAGCCTTCTAAACCCTAGGACATCAAGCTTGGGAAGGTGGAGGGACAGCAAAAGAGATGAAGACCCTCAACCAGGTGGATGGACACAGTGACTGCGGCAATGGTGTGTCAGAGATTGTGAGGACAGCACAGGACAGGACAGGGCTCAGATCTGTTCACAGGGTCGCTACGAGTCGTACTCGGCTCAATGGCACCTAACAACATCAACAAACCACAAAACAATTTCTCTTGAGTGAAGCCAGTCATTTGTGATACCTGTGTTAAAGCGGGACTAGACAACTAAGAATTAGCACTGAGGTCCCCTAAGAATGTTCCCTGACCTCTGCAGCTCCCCACAGGTAAACAGTGCCACAGAGTCCCAGCGGAGTTCCTGTCCTCATCTTTTAAGGCTCATTTTTTCTAACTTTAGACCGAAGACTTAACAGAATATGAAGGCCTCACTCAGGCATAGCCCTAAAAGAAGGAAATTCATATGATTGTGACGTTTTTCTGAATATTTTGTTCCAATTGGCCTCCTGGAAACATGAGCAGCAAACCACCCACGCGAGGCAAACCCTCCTTCTAGAAACCAGTTCTTCATTTCTTAGTATTTCTTCACATCTCAAATTCCTTATTAGTCCCCTCCCCTCCCTTCTTAGTCACCTTCCTCTAACCAGCATCATTTGAAAGTCCTCTTCTTAAAAAGGGAGAAACCAGATCTTATCTTCCGTCCCAGCTGTCCACCTATGAGAAGTTGCCCCGGACATGAACAAGCACCAGTGAGCAGAGATGACTAAACTAGGGTGTTGACTGCATCTTCGTCGACTCAGTAAATACTGAGCTTCTGCTGAGGGCCAACACTGCTCTGGACCCAGGGATGAAACAGGGTAATAGCAAAGCAAACAGAGTGTGTATCAACAGCTTGTAAAATAGATTATGGCTATCTATCCAGCAGAAGAATACTATGCAGCTTTTCTGTGAAAGAAAAGAAGTAATAATGACATGAAGGTGTGTGGTTAAGGAAACCAACCACATCACAGAGAAAGGTATCATATAAAAGTGTGTGTGGCATTATTAACCTAGTGTGTAGTCCAGATGAAAATCCCAAAACTCTTTACCATCGAGTTGGAAGTGGCTCGTGACTAAACCTCCGGCAGATTTTCAGAGCCTGTAAATCACATGGGAGAAGATGGCCAACCTTTCTTCCAGAGCAGCCTGTGGATTTGAACTGCCTGCCTTTGAGTTGGCAGCCAACTCCTTACCCAAGAGGCCACCAAAGCTGAAAAACACTCTAGAAAAGACCTCAAGCAGAAAAGAGTTCAATAGAGCAACGGCCACCTTTGTTGTAGATGCCGTGATGATACTCAGGAAGTCTCAGGAAGGTATTCATTTTCCTAGCAAAGAGTTCTTCTCCTCAAACAATGTGTGGCTTGTATGCAACAACTTGCCTATCTGTGAAATGGGTTGATGTACCTCAGTCCTAAGGTTATTTTTGATTGCTGCAGTGTATGATTCGAAAACTCTAGTTGTTAACAAATGAAGCAGGGTGTGACAGGACAGATGTGGGACTCTCAGAGACTGCCTGGGTAGAGTCAGAGGTTGCAGTAAACCTGGCCAGCAAACAGACGAAGCCCACCTTGGACTTGAGTCCTTGAGGCTGGCCTCTTGGGTCAAGTCTGACCTCTCCCTTTCATGGCCAGCAAGTAGGGCCCCATACAAGCAGGGCCACACGTCAGCTAGGGCCTCTGAAGGTCAGCCAGCATCTGTCTCTACTCTCCCTGCTTCTTTTTTAACTCCAGCTTAGTCATTCTCATTCTTGGTTTCACTTCCCCTGGAGAACTTTCAAAATAACTTGAGGCCTCAGCCGTGCACAGATACTTTGGTTTAATTTAGTCATTGGTGGGGCCCAGACGATGGTGTTTCTTAGAGGTTCATTAAGTGATTCCAGTGCACAAATGATTCGAAGGCCAATAGTCCAGGCCTAGATGCCACAGGAGGGGTCCGCTGGCAGAGCCCACAGGGTGTCGAGCTACTAATCCAAGACCATGCCTTCCCAGCGGTTCAGATGCACCAGTGGCTCAGATGGAGGGAAAAATGGCAATTGAAGACCTTGGAAATCCAATGGTGGGTCAGTTATGAGTCGGTTCTGACTTGACAACAATGAGAGTGAAGTGTCTCAAGGGCCAGAGTGCTTCCCGTCACCAGTTCACGGCTTTTTCCTTCCCCAACTTCTTGTTTATAAAGGTCTCAGGCTAAGACAGCTGGAGCCACCTGCCCTCTCTACCTCCCCCTCCCCACTATAAACTAGATGCCTCTAGGGGCTTCTGAGTGGAGTGTTGCTGTTGCTGTTGCTGTTGTTATGTACCATCGAGTCGAATCATAGCGACCCTGTCTACAACAGCCCTAAACCCTGCTCTATCCTGTGCCAATCTCACTGTCTCCTACACACCCACCCCCATTACCCCAGTCACTGAATAAATCCATCTCGTAGAGGGTCTTCCTCTCCTGCGCTGTCCCTCCACCCTCCCAAGCATGACGTCCTTCTCCAAGGACTGGTCCCTCCTTGAAATATGTCCAAAGTATGTTAGACGGAACCTCAGATCCTTGCCTCCAAGGAGTTGTTATTGTTATGCACCATCAAGTCGCTTATGACTCATAGTGACCCTATGTACAACAGCCCTAAACCCTGCTCTACCCTGTGCCAATCCCACTGCCTCTGACACACCCATCCCGATTACCCCAGTCACTGAATAAATCCACCTCATAGAGGGCCTTCCACTCCTGCGCTGTCCCTCCACCCTCCCAAGCATGATGTCCTTCTCCAAGGACCGATCCCTCCTGACAACATGTCCAAAGTATGTCAGACGAAGCCCCAGAATCCTTGCCTCCAAGGAGCTGCCTGGTTTAACCTGCTCCAGGATGAAACTGTTTGTTTTCTTGGCAGTCCATGGTATATTCAATACTCTTCTCCAGCACCACAGCTCAAAGGCATCAATTCTCCTTCTATCCTCCCTAGACATTGTCCAACTCTCTGATGCATAAACAAGTGATTGCAAAGACCATGGCTTGTATCAGCACACCTTAGTCTCCAGAGAGACACCATTCCTCTTCAGAACTTTGGAGAGGTCGCTAACAGCAGACTTTCCCATCGCAATAAGCCTGGTTTAACCCTCTCCAGGACAAACCTGTTCGTGTTCTTAGCAGATCATGGTATATTCAATACTATTCTCCAGCACCACAGCTAAAAGGCATCAATTCTCCTTCTATCCTCCCTAGTCATTGTCCAACTTTCTGACTCATGACAAGTAATTGCAAAGATCATGGCCTGTATCAGGCCTGACCCTAAATCTTGAAATGCCCTCAGCAGCTCTGGACAAACCCCCAGCTCCTGGTACCTCACTTACCCCAGAAACTGGAGCGAGGTGTTGTCTTGGAGCCCCTGGGCCAGCACTTTGGCCCCAGCAGCGGTAATGTGGTTATTCCCCAGCCTGGAATGGAAAGCAAAAAGAAGCTGAGAGAGCACAGCTGAGGGCAGAGGGCAGAGAATCTTCAGGAAGGGCTATCCTGGGCAGAGACACAGGGCAGAAAACTCTGAGGACCCCCTCCTCTGTCAGTTCTGGGACAGAAGACAGATCAATGTCTGCGGCTTAAGCCCCCAGAGCGAGCTCAACCTTACTTAACCGCTACCCGGATGATTTAATTTTCCACAAGTAGAGGGAAATGAGGCAAGACTGCTTTGCAAAGCAGCATGACAGGTAGAAGCAGGACGTAACAGCCCTGAGAGGTGGTTTCCCTGACGGAGGGTGATTCACCGCTCCACCTCTTTTCTTCCTTTCTCTGGAGCCTGCTGGGATGAATTCCAGATGGCCCACTGAACTTCCCAGAGCTGCTGCTGCTGTGGGAAGCATTCATTTCCTACATGAGAGCCCAGGGCAGGGTTGGGCCTCTGGAAGGGAGTGTATCAGAGAAAAAGGACCCTCTGACACCTTCCAGAAAGTTCCTCTGCCAACCTGAGGAGGAGACTATGGGATGGAGGGCCTCAGGAGAGTAGCCAGGCCAGGTGAATGTCAGCAGGAGAGACTGCTGCTGCTGTTAGCTGTCTCCCAGGGGGCCTTCAAAGTTCATTGAGCAGAACACATGATTTGTCTGGTCCAGCTCTTTCCTATCAACCCTTCAGTGAGGAGTAAAAGGCAAAGGGCAGGAAGCCTGTAGTTGGACCAATCCAGAGGGGGTTCAGGAAGTCCCATCATTAGAGAAATTCTGCCATCCAGTCAATCCTAACCCATTCTGACCTCATGTGTGTCACAGCGAAACCATGCGCCATAGGATTCTCTTTTTTTAATTCACTGTCACACATTTTCTAACCTCCACCCTTAGCCCATCCTGCAATGCAACCCTTATTCCAGATTGTTCTCAGATAATGCCTAATCGTATATTCCTTTCAGACAGTTCTTCCTCTCAGCTGTTCTAATGCAGTATTCATTATCTAGTCTCTCTCTCCTTATTCCCTCCCTAGTCCCCCATGTCTGTCCTAATTTATAACAGCAGAGTTATGCAGTATTTGTTCTTTTGTGATTGAGATATTTCACTTTGTGTAATGTTTTTCTATGTTGTTGTTTTTCAGTGCTGTGTAGTATTCCATTGGGTAGATATACCGTAGTTTTTCTATCCATTCATTTGTTAACGGACACTTGGGTTGCTTCCATCTCTTTGCTATTGTGGAAAACCCAGCAATAAACTGGGGTGGTGCATACGTCTGTTTGAATTGTTGGCTCTGATTTCTTCAGTGTATATTCCCAGGAGTGGAATTGCTGGGTCAAATGGTATTTCTATTTTCTAACGTTTTGAGAAAGCAACAGAGCGTCTTCTATAGTGGTTGTACCAACTCCATAGGATTTTCAAAGAAAGAGGATTTTCTGATTTTTCAGATTGCCAGGTCTATACCCTAAGGCACTTCTGGATGGACTTAAACCTGTAATCTTTCAGTTAGTTGCCAAGCATATGAGCTATTAGCACTATTGCCGTTGTTGTTCTGTACCATTGGGTTGGTTCACAGCTGATCTTCCAGTGGGTTTTCAGAGGCAGTAAATCACACCAGGGGAGGGGGCCATCCATCTGTTTCCTGTGCAGCAGCTAGAAGACGGAAACCACGTGCATTTGGGTTGGCAGTACAATTCATTAGCATGAAGCCACCAGTTGTGAGGTACCATCAAGTCAAGTAGGACTCATAGCAAACTTATGAGCAAGAGATCTGAACCTTGTCCTATCTTGTGCCATCCTAACAATCTCTGCCACACTCAAGCCCATTGATACAGTCACTGGCAATCCAACTGGTTGAGGGTCTTCCTCCACTACGCCATCCTACAACCTTTCTAAGCATAATGTCCTTCTTCAAAGAATAACCTCTCCTAGCAACATGCCAGAAATATGTGAGATGAAGTTTCATCATCTTTGCCTCCAAGAATCACTCTGGCTGCACCTTCTCCAAGACCTATCTGTTTGTCCTGTTGGCCGTCCATGTGATATTCAACACTCTTCTCCAACACTCATTATCCAGCTCTTAGATGCACAGCAAGTGACTGAAAAGACCATAACCTGAATCAGGAGCACCTTAGTCCTCAAACTGACATCATTGCTCCTCAATAATTTGGCGAGGTCCTTGACTGCAGACCTTTCCAGAGCGATACATCTCCTGATCTCCTGACTGCTGGTACCAAGAGTATTGATTATAGATCCAAGTAAGATGAAACTGTAGATAGTTCCAATCCCTTTTCCTTCTATCATGATGTTGTCTATTGGTCCATAGGTGACAATTTTTGTTTTCTTGACATTGAGATGAGATTCATATTGAAGCCTACAATATTTGATCTTCTGCAATAAAGTGTTTCAAGTCCTCCTCACTTTCAGCAAGCAAGATTGTGTCATCTGCATAATGATGCCATTCTTCAGAGAGTCCAGCTTCTCACACATTTGCTTATTATACAAATTGAACAGGTATAGAGAGATGATACAACCCTGATGCACACCTTTATTAATTTTAGACCAAGCAGCGTTCCCTTGTTTTCTTGTACAATAGCCTCTTGATCTAGATTTGGGTGTCACACGAGCACAATTAAGTGTTCTGAGATTACCACTCTTTTCAATATTAATCATAATTTGTTATGATCCACTAAATTCTTTTGAATAGTCAAAAAGGAACAACATAGGCATGCTTTACTTCCTTTCAGAATCCATCTGAAATAAGCAATGATATTCCTGGTGTCATGGCCTTCTCTAGTGCAGCTCTTACTTCTATATACTGTTTTAGCCATTTTTTAATGGTCTTCAGCAGTGTTTTGCTTTTATAATAATAATATTGTTCAATAATGTCCACATTCTGTTGAATAATCTTTCTTGGGAATGGGAACAAATATGGATCGCTCCTAGCAGTAGGCCAGGCAGTCTTCCAAATTTCCTGGCATAGTCTGATGAACCCATCCAGAGCTGCATCTATCATTTGAAATATGTCAATTGCTATCCCATAAATTCCTGGGGCCATATTTTTTTGCCAATGTCTTCAGTGCAGCATAAACTTATTCCCTCATTACCCTTGGCTTTTGATCATATTTCTCCCTGAAATATTTCAATGTCAGCCAATTCTTTTTGGTACAGTGACTCTGTGTATTCCCTCCATCCTCTTTTGATGTTTCCTGGGTCATTCAAGATTTGGTCATAACATCCCTAAGTATTGCAATTCAAGGCTTTAATTGGTTTTTCTGTTCTTTCCATTTGAGAAAAGCTGAACGAGTTCTTTTTATTCTCTAATTCCTGGTCTTTGCACATTCTGTTATAGTAATTTGCTTTGTCTTCTCAAGCTTCCTTCTGAGACGTTTTCTGTACAGCTCTTTCATTCCAGCATCTCTTCCCTTTGTTTTTGGCTTCTCCATGTTCCAGTGCCGTTTTCAGGGTCTCTTCTGACATGCATTTTGGTTTTTTTCTTTCTCTTATGTCTTTTTTAGTGACATTTTGCTCTCTTCATGAATAATATCCTTAATGTTATCCCACAGCTCATCTGGTTTTCAACAATTGGTGTTTAAGGCTTCAAATCTCTTCTTTTTTAAAAAAAAACTTCAAATCTCTTCTTAAGATGATATAAATTTAGATGGGATAGACTCAAGATCATATGTTGGTGCTTAAAGATTTGTTTTCATTTTCTTCAGCTTCAAATTGAACTTGCACATTAGTAACTGTAAATTCCACAGTCAGCACGTCACCTGGTTTTGACAGCTGATCCAGAGATTTATTCACATGCACAATCTGAATCCTATGCGGTCTGTCTGGTGAGGTTCATGTGTAAAGTTGTCATTTGTGTTTTTTTAAAATCTGTATACATTGAATGTATATAATTTGATCATTCCGTTTCCAGCCTCGTATGTCATCAAGTCCATACTTTCCAACTACTCTTTCCTCTTCATTGTTTCAAATTTTTGCATTCCAATTCACCAATTATTATTAACACATCTTGATTTCATGTTTGGCCAATTTCAGACTGTAAAATTTGATAAGAATCTTACCATTTCCTCCTCTTTGGCTTTAGCTGTTGGGGGACATACTTGAGTAACAGTCATATTAACAGGTCTTCCTTGTATTGTGCGTGGACAATATCCTACCTCAAACAACATTGCACTTCAGGATAGAACTTAAAATCGTCTTTTTCGCTATGAGTGCAATACAATTCTTGCTCTGTTTTCCATTCCCAACATAGTACTCCACATGAATGTCAGATTCAAAGCGGCCCAAGCCAGTCCATCTCACTTCACTAATGCCAATAATGTTCATGCATTATACTTCATTTTTCACAACTTCTGGTTTTCTTACATTCATATTCCATGCATTCCACGTTCCAACTATTAAAGAATGTTTGTGGCCATTTCTCCTCATTTTGACTGACTTCTAATCTGGCCTCTACCTCTAATCTTAATATCTATCCACATTCCTCTATTGCATTGTGCTGCTCGCCCAAAGGTCACGCCTCTCTGGTGGTTCCAACTCAACAACCATGAGTGAGTGAGGGGTGGGTGACAGAAATGCTCCCTCCTGGACTTTTTATTGTGTTTCTGACTATAACACATTTTTTAAAGAGTCCTAAACTTTAGAATTTTCCATCATGACTGCTCCCTTTCGCTCATTCATACAGCTCTTTTGTAGTTGTTGTTGTGAATAAAAACATTCAAGAAAATAAAAATGGGGGTATGTGGGGCCTTTTAGGTCTGTGCATGGGAAGGGAGCCATAGAGGCCACAGAGGAAGCCACGAAAAGATGCCCGCATGACCCACTGCCCTTGAATTCAGCCTACAGGTCATGATCATAGTGAAGAGTAATCCAAGGCCAAGACTGACTGGCTAAACTGCCAAGAGAGAAACCGTTTACACACAACACAAACAGGAAGCTTGACTCACCTCAATGCCAAAAAGTTCCGCTTGCATCCAAGGAGCTTGGCCATGGAGTGTGCACAACCGTCCGTCAATTTGTTGTTAAACAGACTGCCAAGTTCCAAGAGAGAGGAAACGTGGGGGCAAAGATTAATGATGACCTTGCAAACAGGACAGTCTGCCTTTCTCCCTCACGACAGGGATCCTCCCTCCGGACCCTCCAGCCAACAAACACAAACATCCATCCAGCCCACTGCACCTCGCACGAGTCCAGGCGTGCAGTGACTTACGCTAATTTCTGTAGCTGCTCACAGTGAAGAGCGTGTTCCACGAGCTTGCAGATGCCTCGATCTGAGATGTTGTTATCTCGCAGGCTAAGAAAGGTGAAACAAAGCCATTTGAAAGTGGAGCTGATAGTAGAGAAAAGAAGTGCTGTAAATTCCAAGTGCCCAAGAAAAAGCCAGCGCTCCTTCATCCCTCCCCAGAAGACTGACTATCACGCTGTGCTGCAGAGCCTAGAAACTACACGTCTAAAGAGCCCTTGCATCTGCAGAAAGCCACTGATCTAAGCTGAAGTGGTAATTCCACCTCTGTAAAAGAGAGGCTGGTGGGTCTGTGACAGAATGTTTCTCTTTCATGAAAGAAGTCTGGGTTCGACTCCCAATCGACACTGAAAGCCTGGATGATGCTATGATGCTGTAAATGTTTTGAAGCTTTCAGACTAATTAATACAAGGAAGAAAGTCTAGCAGTCTCCATCGGGGGGAAAAAATCAGCTAATGAAAACCTTAAGGTTCGAAGCCAGGTGATAAACAGACGATCTGATAAATAAATGGGAATGAGGCAGGACCGGTGAGGTTTTTTCCATTATACATGGAATCGCTGGGAGCCAAGGACCATCCATAACACTTAATAACAAAAGAGAGATGGTGATAATAAAAGACTCACAGAAGGCTCTGAGGAAGAAAGGAACAGACACTTGGGAAAGGTGCATCAGGAATTACACATAGCTAGTGCAGCCAGAGTGCTTCTTGGAGGCAAGGATGACAAAGCTTTCTCTCTCATACTTTGGACAGGTTGCTAGAAGAGGCTATTCCTTGGAAAAGGATATTATGCTTGGAAGGATAGAAGGTCAGTGAAAGAGAGGAGGACCCCCTGTTGAGACGGACAGACATGGTGACTGCAGCAATGGGCTCAAGTGGCTCAGAGCTGATGAGGATGGCACAGGGAAGGACGGGATTCAGATCTGTTTTTCAGAGGGTCATTAGAAGTCATACTTGACCTGATGACACCTCACAACAACAAATCGTAGGGTTAACGGTTGTTGGTATTGGTGTTGAGATGGGATCAAACCATAGTTGACCCTCCAGTGGGTGTTCAGAGGCAGTAAATCTCCCAGAAGGAGACTGCCCACCCTTCTCCCACAGAGCAGCTGGTGAATTCAAGCCGTGTGAACCTGGGATTGCGGCACAGCTTCTTACCACCAGGCTACCAGAGCTCCTGTTGTTGATGATGGTAAGTACCATCCCAACCAAACCAACCCACAGCCGACCCTCCAGCGGATTTTCAGAGGCAATTAATTGCATGGGAGGAGACTGCCCATCTTTCTCCCTGGAAGCAGCTTGTGGATTCAAACCGTGTGCCTTCAGAATCACAGTGCAGTTTCTTACCACTAGGCCACCAGAGCTCCCTGTTAGGGCTAATGATTATTGTTGGTGTTGTATGCCATCAAGTCAGAACTGACTCACAGCCAACCTTCCAGCAGGTTTTTAGAGGCGATAAATTTCACAGAAGAAGATAGCCCCAGCCTTCTCCCAAATTAGTGGTAGAAGTTAGTAGATATCAACCAGTTGGATGAGAGAGGATAAAACTTCAGAAATGAGCATGCAGCTGTGTTAGTGAGCCCCTGCGGGTCGCACTCTTGAGACATCACCACCACAGGTCACAGGCAATCCAGCCAAGCCCCCTCCGACACTCCTCTTAAGAGATATGCCAAGATCAAGTGGAACTTTCACAAAAAAGATAGATTCTCAGAATTCTCCCATGGAGATGGCAATTCAGCCTGTGTAAAGTGGAGCCTAGTGATCTCCCACCCCCAGACAACAGTGCACATGATTCTTAAGACAAATGTGAAAACCCCTGGCTGTGGAGTCCCTCAGCTGATGTTCTGATCAAGAGCACTCACTTAGTGACTGCTCCAGCCATAAAGAGGAAACAATGCCGACTTCAGAAACAGCAAAGCTCACATAAACACCCAGCATCCAGTAAAAGTTATCTGTAAACGTGATCGCTCACATCTACTGAGCATTGCTCTTGGCCTTATTTTTCCTGGGTCTATTTTTTTACAATGCCTTCAGTGCAACTTGAACTTCTCCCTTCATTGCGCTAGGTTCTTGATCATATGCTGCTTCCTGAAAATGAAAGTGTTGACCAATTCTTTTTTTTATGCAGTGACTCTGTGTATTTCTTCAACCTTCTTTTGATGCTTCCTAGATCATTCAATATTTTGCCCATGAAAAAATCAATCCTTCATTATTATAAAGTGAGGCTTGAGTTTATGTTTCTGTTCTTTTTGCTTAAGAAATACCAAGTGTGTTCTTCCCATTTGGCTTTCTAACTCTTGGCACATTTCACTTTAACATTTTGCTTTCTCTTCTTAAGTTTCCCTTTAAAATTATCTAGTCAGCTGTCTTATTTCAGCATTTCTTCCCCTTTTTTTAACTTTCTAGTGAATGTTTCAGAGTTTCTTCTGACATCCAATTCAGTCTTTTCTTCTTTCTATCCTGTCTTTGTAATGGCCTATGGCTCTTCAGGGAAGACGTCCTTAATGTCATCCCGCAACTTTTCTGCTGTTCTATCATTAAATTGATTCTTTTAAAAAAATTATTATTAATCTCAATGAAAATTTACAGAGACTTTGAATTTTCATTCATTCATTGTTGCACTTTTCTCCCCTCCCAACCCTCCCCTCTAGTACACTACCCTCTTGGAAAAGTAAAAGACTTTCATTGTTTAACAATCCCTCCCCCCAGGTCCACTCCACTATGCAGCCTTCGCTCTGGATTCCTGTCATGACAAAAATACTTAATCACATATCCCTTTTAAACAATTTTCTCCCTTATCTGTTTCAATGCAGTATACATTATTGAACCTATCTTTCTCAGTCTCTCCCCAACGCTGATGTCAGTCCTGTTTTACAACAGTGGCACCATGTAGTATTTGTCCTTTTGTGACTGAGACACTGATTCTTAAGATAGTTTTTAAAATTCACTTGGGATACTTTCAAGGTCCTATTTTGGTTCTTGATTACATGTTTTCATTTTTGTCAGCTTCAGTTTGAGCTTACACGTGAGTAACTGAAAGTCTGTTCCATAATTAGCCCCTGGTATTGTCTTGACTGCTAATACTGAGATTTTCCATCAGCTCTTTCCATAAATACAATCAATCTGATTACTGAGTGTACTTCCTCCACACCTATTCAACTTGAAGGGATTTCTGGTGATCTACTCAATCTGTATGCTGAGCAAATAACTCATGAAGCTGGACTCTATCAAAAGGAATGTGGAATCAGGATAGGTGAAAGAGAGGAAGACTCTCAGTGACTTTAACAATAGGCTCAAGTGTGTCAGAGCTAATGAGGATGGCACAGAACAGGACAGGGTTCAGGTCTTATACATAGAGTCACTATGCATTGGATTGGATTCGACGGCACCTACTGAAAACAACAATTTGCATTATGCAGATGACACAGCCTCGCTCGTTTGTTGAAAGTGATGAGGACTTGAAATGCTTGTTGCAGAAGATAAAGAAATACAGCCTTCAAGATGGATGAAAACTCAACATCAAGAAGACAAAAATCGTCACCTCTGGGCCAACTGGGAGCATCATGAGAGATGGAGGAAGGACCGAAGTTGTCAGTGATTTCCCCTTCCTTGGGTCCACAATCAGCACCATTGGTATCAGTAGGCAGGAGATCAGATGTATTGCACTGGGCAAGTCTGCCCTCAGGGATTTTCCAAATTATTACATAACAGTGATGTCAGTCTGAAGGCTCAAGTGAGCCTGATTCAGGCCATGGTCTTCTCAATCCCTCACTGTGCATCTGAGTGCTGGACAATGAAACAAATCTGTCTTAGAAGTGCACCAGAATGCTCCTTCTTCTACCGTCAAGGATGATGAGACTTCATCTTCCATACGTCACGTATGTTACCAAGAAGAGCCAATTCTTTGCAGCAGACATCGTGTTTGGAAAGGTGGAGGGTTCAGCAAAGAATAGAAAGATCCTAAACAAAATGGATTGACACCGTGACTGTAACAATGGGCTTAAGGACGCTGGAGGTTCTGAGAATGATACAGGATTCCAGTGTGTTGTACACAGAGTCACTCCGGGTCAGAGTTCACGCAACAATACCTAACAACAACAAAGTAGAGAGCAGAAAAGAAGTGCTCAATGAGATGCATTGTCACAGTGGGTGTCCCATCGAGCTCACACCTAGAGGCTGAGAACCAGGCAGTGTTTCATACCATTCTACAGTGTTGCACTGTCAGTCAGAATCAACTCTACAAACCCCAACAACAGTGTTCTAAGGGATAACAGCTTCTAATAGATATCCATGCGTTTGTTCCCAAAGAAAAAGAATCTTGCCACTTTGGTCCAAAGACCACATGCTATCTAGTCAGTAGATTTCCTTAAAGGAGATTCCTAACCTCTCTGGCAGCTCAGATCCACCAGCACTTGGAGGGAAAAGATGGGCAATCACCACCCCCAGTCCCATCCTGTCCAATTTATAGTCTCTGAAATCCAACGGAGGGTCAGCTGTGAGTCAGTTCTCACTGGACGACAAAGGACTTGGGGGCTGTGTAGATTTCAACTTCAAGCTACAACTTCTGCTTTCTCAGAGGTTACAAACAGGAAGGAAGACATCCTTTCAAGACCAGCAGTGATGTTGGGGAGCTGGGCACACTCTCTACCCCAGTCACCTAAAGACGAGAGGGGCATAGATGTTCCAAAGGATGCAAACCTTGAAGCGAAGAAGCTGAAAGCAGCACGAATAAATTGAAAGTCTTGCTTGTCACTACATTACATTACAAAAATTAATATTTTAGGTTCAACTCCACAGCTACTTTTTCTCTCTGCGTGTCCTGAAATTCCTGTTGTGTTGACATTTTCAAGTCACACACATCAACTCTGACCTGGGCCAGATCCTCCGTGAGCCACCTAGAACACAAAACTATGTGTATGACATCAGGGTTTTCACGGAGTCCCTGAAGTCCACACGCAAGTCCACAGGTCACTTGAGGGGAGCAGGGAGTTTGTAACTGTGCATCTAGAAATCCTGCCTCTGCCATTTCCAGCACGATCCTGGAAAAGTTACTTCAATTCTCCGAGTGTCACACTGAAGATCCACGTCACTGTCAAGCTGATTCTGACTCATGGTCATCCCTACGTCACAGAGTACAATCGCTTTTTACCAAAGCAGATCGCCAGGCCTCTCTTCTGCAGCACCACTCGGAAGGTGTGAACTGCCAACCTTTAGCTTAGTCATCTAACCATCTGCACCACCCGGGGCCCTACAGTAAGATAACTGAGACACTAATGCTCTGCCTACAACCTGCAGTGGTTGTGGCACTTGAAAGAGATAATCATAGAAGGTGTATAGCACCACACCTAGCATGCAAGTTGTGTTCAATAAGTTATAGATATCGTTCTCACCCACTACCTGTCTGTTAGTCTGGTATAAGATGGTGGCCTGCATGTAGTGATGACATTGGAAGCTAAGCGACTGTTATTTCCAATAGCAGCAGGGACACTTCTGTAGACAGGTTTCAATGGAACTTCTAAACCAAGACAAACTAAAGAAAAAGGTCTGGCAAGACACGTCCAAACATTAGGCAATGAAGTGCGTCTCACGGATCACAACAGAACGTTGTCTCTAACTCTTTCTCGTTGGACACATCATCAGAAAGGAGCAATTGCTAGAGGAGGTCACGACCTGTGGTAAAGAAAGGACCAGTGAGGACAAGAGAGGGCCTGTGTGGGATGGACGGCACAGCTGTTGCAAGGATGCCTTCAGACGTGGCAACGATCTTGTGGATGGCACAGAATAGACAATGTTTTCTTTAGAATCTAAAATCACTAGGGAGCGCTAGTGGGTGAGTGGCAAGAAGCTGTGCTGCAATCACGAGGACACATGGTTCGAATCCAACCAAGCTACTTTGCGCGAGAAGGCTGGGCAATCTCCTCCTCTGTGATTAAATGCCTCTGAAAAGCCACTGGAGGGTCGATTCTGACTCAACAGTACACAACAACATAAAATGTTTATGCACTGGAAGCAATTCAATGGCAATTGACAATCACAACATTGCTATATTCAACTTGACAGCAACCAGTCCTGGTGACAGCACTATACAGATGGGGAAACTGAGTAAGAAACAGACTAAGAAAGGAACTCTGTCTGGAGGAGGGCTGGGTTGGTCCCAGGAGCCCAGCTCAGGGTTTCTGTGCCCGTATGTCAATGGTGACACCCTCTCCTCACCCTGCTTGCGTGCCCAGCCACACTCACTCACTAGAGGGCTTTGCAGACCCCAAGGCAAGGCAGCAGCTGTTCCACGCCAACGTCCCCCACAGAGTTGTAGTCCAGTTGCAGGGCCACGGGCTGCCGGAGGTGCCGCAGCACAAAGGCCAGCGCTGCGCACTCACTGGGGCCCACACTGCAAAAGGTCAGCTTCAGGTGCCCAACGTCCAGCCCCCGCACAGCGTCCTGAGCCAGCCGCTCCTCCTGCATCTCGTACAGGCTCCGGACGAGCCCCAGGAAGCCTGGCAGGGCATGCATGCTCTTGGTCTCACCTGGCACTGCAGGTGGGATGGAGCGGAAGTGTGTGCGTAGGCTGCGGGCCAGACACGAGCGGGCACAGGTCTGACGCCGGAGCAAGGCCTTCTCAGACGCCTGGCACTCAGCCAGCAGGTGCCGGTGCTCCTGGGATAACAGTCCTGCCAGGAAGGCTGCTGTGATCTGGAGGTTGTGGGGCTCAGCCTTCTGCAGCAAAGTCCTGATGCTGTCCTCCTCACGGCCGGAGCCCTGAATGCAAAGAGGAAGCAGTAGCCTGGCCAGTGGGGAGCCGCCCAGCCTTGGGCAGTTGAAGAGATATCTGAGAGAGCTGGATGTGAGGTCAGCGCTTAGCACTAGGTAGAATGCAGCAAAAAAGCACTGGAAAGTAATGTGTAGGAACTCCAGAGGGGCTGAGCTCCCTGGCACCACAGTTTTGGCAGGAACCAGGAAGCCCAGAGAAATGTCTTCAGCGTCCACTTGGGCCGCCTGGAGCTGCCTGGCTGAGAACACATAGGAACACCTCCCCAAGCCCCAGAGAGCCAAGCGACCGAGGTGCATGAGCATGGGAAGCCTTCCACGAAGCGGGCTGGGGCCTGGGCCTTGATGGGCTGTGTCTGGGGGGTAGGCATGCAGCAGGAAGTGACGCAGGATCAGCAGGTACATGTCTGTGCTGGTCTTCAGGGAGCCTCCGCCCTGCAGCAACAGCTCCTGGTGACACTTGGAGACGATCCACGAGAAGACAGGGAGATGGCACAAGCCATGCAAGGCCGAAGATGCTCTGAGAAGGTGCACCAGGCGGTCCGCCACCCCAGGCTTGTGGTGATGCTTTCGCATGTACAGTTCAATGCCCTCCTCCGAGAAGCCCTTGAGGCTGAGCTCCTTGCAGACGTACTTCCTGAGGGAGGCTGTCACCGCATCGGGACGGCTGGTCAGCACCTTGCGGGCGTTCTTCAGCAGGTTGCCCTGCAGAAGATTGAAGAGCAGGTTCTGGACGGGCATGCAGTGGGTCGGGGAGCAATGACGCTCTCGATCGCTGAACCTGAACCTGAACTCATCAAAGCCATCGAAGGTGAGCAGAACGCGGTCGGGGTGGTCCAGGAGGAACTGGAAGACATCCTGGGGCCCGACATCCGGCCAGCAGCAGTGTTCAAAGAGCAGCGTGTGCACGGACAGCGGTTTGGTCACACACTGCAGCTGCCGGCAGCTGAACGGAAAGACAAACAGAAACTCCTGGAAGTCCTGGCCGGTCGCCCACAGGAATTGCAGCTGCTGTAGCAGGGTGGTCTTGCCACTGCCCGCCTCTCCCACCACCAGCACCGTGTCAGCATCCTCGTTGAGGCGACCCTGGGGGTGAAAGAGCTCTTCCAAGCTCACCGTGGCTGGGCTCTGCTGCCTGGGGCCGCCAGGGCCCACGTTCATCTGCACCTCCAAGATGTTCTCTGTGTATATGTCCTCGAGGCAAAGGTTCTCTTCCCCGTCATAGGAACTCAGGAATCGAGACTGAGCAGACAGCGTGGCCTTTAGCTTGGACATGTACTTCTTATAAGCGACATCTGTCAGAAAGGAAAGAGCACATGAAAAGAGTCTGGGTTAAAGGTGAGGTCTACCAGAGGACCAAGCGCAGAGTGATCATGCAAAGAGAATTTATGAAAATGAGACTAAACTTAGAAGAAACAGTACAGGCATTTCTTTAGGCAGAGAACCCACTATAACAGAAAATAACTCAAAATTGGATGCATGACAAAATATTGTGAAATCAGCCCAGACACAGAAATACATAATGTAAAATAATGTGTAAGATTAAAAAAATAAGACACCAGAGGAATTGGCCCATAAATGTTGTTGTGGTTGCTATGCACCATCAAGCCAGAACCAACCTATGGTGGGATTACAGAAGCAGTTAATTGCATGGGAGGAGATTGCCCATCCTTCCCCCGTGGAGCAGCTGGTGGATTTGAACTGATTGCTTTTGGGATTGCAGTGCAGCTTCTTACCACTAGACTACCAGAGGAGGACTTGGCCCATGAATAAAGAAAACGAAAAATGCAAAAAGAGGAGAGTAGTTCTAAAACTTCAAAATTGAAAGGACCCCATGGCAATGTCAATTGAATGATAATAAAAAGATTTATACAAAGAAAGGTTTATACTCTAAAAGCTAAGAAAGACTTATCCCCAGAAAGACAACTTTTCATGATTATGAATAATATAGAGATTCCTACTACACAGAAAGGTTTATATACAGAATTGTCATTGGATGTTTACCAGGGATGGGAAGAGAGGGAGTGAGGAAAAAAACTTTGTAAACAGATACATACCGAGATGGGCAAAAGGAAATGTACAAAAAGGGATCATCAGCATAATATTATCTACTAAAATATTATAGACCTAATACTAAAGAAAGGAAAGACAAAGAGAAGAATAGAACAATGAATGGAAATCAGAATTATAGGGAGAAAGTGGGAAAAGAGGGATTACCTTGTGAGTATTGAAATTACTGCTATTTCATTGTAAACCTTCACTTTAATCACAAGGAAAAATTGTTAATTTAACCACAGGAGTTAAAGCCAACAGTAAACCATTACACACACAAACCTACGCTGCCAATAAATAACAATCATTAATCTACATAGGCAGACAGACAAACAGATATGGGCGAGTCAGAGGGGTTTCTACAATAATGCTCAGAGAATAGGTTTGGCAGATGATAGCTCAACATGACTGCTATAAATTTATCCATGTAGATGTAAAGGCAACAGGGGAGAATATGATGCAATCCTTTTCAATAAAGCCCTGAGTGAGTGAGTCACTGTCAATGGGCCCCAGGACCATAGTCTGAGGGAATGACCAACGTCAATTGGCTTGAATATTCCACAAGGACAATATTCTACATTCTCTTCTGATGAGTGGCCACAGGGGACTTACAAGCTCATGAGCAGTCATCTAAGCTTTCTCTCTAGAGCACAGAAAAGTGAAGGAAATAAACGCATCTCCATTGGCCCAGGTGACCCTCAACTTCCACTAAGAGCACAGAAAAGTGAAGGAAATAAATGCATCTCCGTTGGCCCAGGTGATCCTCAACTTCCGCAACCCTGAGACCAGAAGAACCACATGGGGCTTAGCTACCACATCTAATTGATCTGAAAAGGACCACAGGGGAGTCCTGGATAGAGTGAGAGATAATGTAGAACAAATGTCAAAATCACAATAACAGCTATGCTTACTGTGGTATTGGAGAAGAGTGCTGAATATCCCATGGACTGCCAAAAGAACAAACAGATAGGTCTTGGAGAAGGTGCAGCCAGAATTCTCCTTAGATGCAAAGCTTCCCTCCTCATATTTTGGACTTGTTGCCAGGAGAGGCTATTCCTTGGAAAGGGACATCATAGTTGGAAAGATGGTGGGTCAGGGGGAATAAAAGAAGGACTCCAAAGAGATGCATTGTCACAGCGATTACAGCAATGGGTTCAAGTGTGCCAGAGATGATGAGGATGGCGCAGGACAGGATTCAGATCTACTGTTCCTAAGGTCAATACAAGTTGTACTTGACTCGAGGGCACCTAACAACAACAACAGGTCATCAGAATCTCCAGGAAGGAACATATTCCAACCCACACCTTGATTGTAGCCCAGTCAGCGAGCTCTGGTGGACTAGTGGTAAGAAACTGCACTGCGATCCCAAACGTATGTGCTTTAAATCCGCCAGCTGCTTCACCAGAGAAAGACGGGAAATCTCCTCCCCATGAGATTTACTGCCTTTGACAACTCGCTGGAGGATCAGCTGTGGGTCAGTTCCAACTCAACAATGCACCACAATAACAATAACAATATGAGGTATTCAGTGCTCTTCTCCAGCACCACAACTCAAAGGCATCATCAAGTCGTCTTCTGTCATCCTTTATTCACTGTTCAACTTCCAAATGCATAGAAACTAACGAGGAGATCTTGGCTAGGAGCACCTACCACTTAATCTTTAAACTGGTCTCCTTGCTCTTCAAAACTTTGGAGCGGTCCTTGACCTTAAATTTTACAAATGTCACAATTTTTTTTTAAAATTTCTTGACTGCTGGTTGGTACCAAGATGTTGACTGTTGATCCAAGGAGGATTAAATAATTGACAACCTCAATTTTTTTTTCTATTATGATGTTGCCTATTGGTCCAGTGGTGAGAATGTTTGTTTTCTTGACATTGAGATGTAATCCATGTTGAAGACTATATAGTCTTTGATCTTCTGCAGCATGTGCTTCAAGGCATACTCACTTTCATCAAGCAAGGTTGACTTTTATCAAGCAAGGTTATGTCATTGCATAACACAGCTTATTGATGACTCTTCCTCATCAAAGACAGAGTAGGAAGCAGGATTGGCCATCCACTTCTTAAATAACAGGACTTGGAAAACCCTATGAACACTAGAGGAACGCAGATAGTTTATATGGAGTGTAGTGGTAGAACCCAGCTTGACAGTCAGTTAAAATCAGGAAAAACAATGATAAACATTGCTTAACAATTGGAAAGTGGAATGTGCGTAGCTTGAATGTTGGAAAACTAGAAACTGTTAAAAATGAGATGGAATGCATGCATATATGCATTAGTAAGATAGACAGCCTTGGCCATTTTGATTCAGATGATCTGTGCATTCTCTCCATCTATTTCATCTACTTTTTGAAGCTTCCTGGATCATTCAACATATTGACCAGAGTATCCTTTAATATTGCAACTCACGGCTTAAATTTGTTTCTCAGTCCTCTCAATTTCCATCTTCTTTTTTTTTTTAACTTCATATTGGTTTACTTATAAATTTCATATACATTGTTTTTCACACTGGATCTTTCCTCTTTCCTTTACCTACCCATCCCTCCACCCAGCAAATTGTGTGACCCTGTGATTAAGCCCCTTTCCCCCTTCCCTGTCCATCTTCTCCCCTCCCCTCCTTGGCTCTTCATACTCGTTCTACAATAATGGTCTTATACAGTATTTGTCCTTGTGGGACTGAATTAGTTCACGTAACATAATGTTCTCCAGTTCCTCCCAAGTTAGGTAGTAATTTACAAAATTATTGCTCCTGTGTGCTACATAGTATTCCATTGTGTGAATGTACCATAATTTCTCAATCCATTCAGCTATGGTTGGACATTTGGTCTGTTTTCATGTTCTGAATGTGATGATGAATAATGCTGCAGTGTACATTGGTGTGCAAGTCTCCGTTTGGGCCTCAGTTCTCGTTTTCTCAGGGTATATTCCAAGCAGTGGAATAGCTGGGTCATATGGAATTTCTATGTCCAGCTTTTTGAGGAAACGCCAAATTGTCTTCTAGAAGGGTTATAGCATTTTACAATCCCATCAACAATGTATAAGAGTTCCTATCTCGCCACATTCTCTCCGACATTTATTAGTTACTCTCCTGCTATATTTTGTCATTGCTTCTGAGGTAAGATGGTATCTCACTGTGATTTGCATCTCCCTTATTGTCCGTGATTTTGAGCATTTCTTCATGTCCTTATGTGAATATAACAAGGGAACATTACATAGTTTAAAATTAAGAAAGGAATATGCCAGGGTTGTATTCTCTCTCCATACATATTCAATCTGTATGCTGAGCAAATTACTCAAGAAGCTGGACTCTATGCAGCACCAGGGTCACAGGAAGACTCATCAATAACTTCATTATGTAGATGACATAAGCTTGCTTGCTGAACGTGAACAGAACTTCAATATCAAGAAAACAAAAAATCTTACCACTGAACCAGTAGGCAACATCATGATAGACAGAGAAAAATTGAAGTTGTCAGTGATTTGATCTCTTGGATCCATAATCATCAACCTTGGTACTAACAATCAGGAGATCAGGAGATATATTACACTGGGAAAGTCTGCAGTCAGGGACCTCTCCAAAATTATTGAGGAGCAATGATGTCAGTTTGAGGACTGAGGTGTGTCTGATTCAGGCCACGGTGGATGACAAAAGAATTCTTGATGCCTTTGAGCTGTGGTGTTGGAGAAGAGAAATATGGACTGCCAAAAGAACAAACAGATACATCTTGGAGAGAGCACAGCCAGAGTGCCTCTTGGAGGAAAAGATGATTAAGCTTCACCTCACATTTGGGGGCATGTTGCTAGAAGCTATTCCTTGGAGAGGGACATCATACTAAGCAGAGGGTTGGTGAAGGAGAGGAAAACCCTCAACGAAGTGGGCTGACACAGTTACTGCACAATGGGCTCTAATGTGTCAAGAAGTGTGAGGATGGCACCACATGGGACAAGGTTCAGATGTGTTGTTCCCAGGGTCCCTATGGGTCGTACTTGACTCAACAGCACTTAACAACAATAACAGTATGGAAAGTAACAAAAGCTAATAAAAAACCAAACTTGTTAGACTGATTGCAACTCACAATGATCCTATACCTTAAGAACTGGAATTGATCTGAACTACAAACTAGATTTTCTAGGCTATGATAATTTTTACAGAAGTAGATTGTCAAGCATCTCATCTGGGGTGCCACTGAGAGGAGTTGAACTATTAACCTTTCGATTGTTGTTGTTGTTGTTGTTGTTGTTGTTAAGTGCCATCAAGCCATAGGCGACACATAGCGACTCTATGAGCACAAGACCTGGACATTTGTATAACTTTCATCCTTTCTCCAGGTTCATAGGGTTTCTAGATGCAAGGTATTGTGGAAGTGGATGTCACTCCTGCTTCCAAGCTTGTTTTAATCGGGAAGCTCCACCAAACACTGTCCACCATGGGTAACCATTATCACGTTTGACTCATCAGTGTCACAGTGTTCAGCTTCACAGTGACCATGAGTTACCTCTGTATGGCAAATGGACAAGACCAGGGCTATATGACCTAGAAGAATGTTTCAAAAAACAAGATTTAAAACATTTATGCTGTCCAAGTACATAGCAAACAATGAATGCTGAGGAAAGTGGGTTGTGGGGAGGGTGGCATGGGCAATGGCAGTGTTTCTGATGCACATATGCCTCACTCTGGAGTTCCTACTCTTTACTTTGCATCTGTAGAGACTTCTTTTCCGTTTTCCACACATTAAGAACAATATACACATACCTTTTAAAGGTAGGGCTGCTGGGACTGGTAACTGCTGAACACACTGCAGAAGGAAAGCAGCTAATCCATTGGCCTTCAGTGTGGCAAGGTCCAGCAGCCTTCTCGCCTACAGGAAAAGAAAATATTTCTTTTTCCAGAAACGCTGATGGAGAGACGTGGAAAGGTTTCTACAGATTACTACAATTTCATAGAAATTACTCTTCCACGTCAATAAAATGACTAGAAAAACAACCCAACAATAATGTGAACTGCTCTGGTAGCCTAGTGCCAAGAAGCTGCACTGCAGTCCTGAAGGCACATGGTTTGAATCCCACCAGCTACTCCTCAGGAGACGGATGGGCAATCTCCCCCTGTGTGATTAACTGCTTCTGAAAACCCACTGGAGGGTCAGCTGTGGGTCATTTCTGACTCAACAGCACCCAACAACAGCAACAATAAAACATCAGTACAGTATTGCATGGCCACTTGATACAAGGTGTTCAGTCTGGGACCCTCATGAAAGCTGTTCAAAGTAAAGTGAAAGTTTTAAAGACATAAAGATATATTCCTATAAATAGGTCACTATTTCTCAAAACTCCTGCTATGAAATGCATAGTAGGTCAGTTTCACAAGTGTACTCAGAGTTTCCAATCAATTGGAGGTTTTTTACTTTTTTTAAAAATTGTAATTTATGTGAGAGCTTACAACACATATTATGGTTTGGGGTTTGTTGATGGTTTGGTTTTGATGTGGTTTTTGTTTTTTTGTTTGTTTTTTGTTTTTAGTAAATCAATTCGATCTATCTCCGACTGTAAGAGTTTTTAGAAATCATCTATTTCTTCTTCTTTGGCTCTGGTTGTTGGTGCATATATCTGAATGA